ACGAGTGTAGGGCCAGCCATCTCCCTAAAGAAAAATGAATTCTCCCCCAATTGCCAGTAATTGCCAATAACTGCTTAGGGTTTTTGTTTGCTTATCTGTTTGCTTGAAACCAGTGTTGCTGTATAAACAAGTCAACTTTGAACTTCTCCTCCTGTCTCAGTCTGCAGAGGGCTAGGATTACAGACATGCACCACCACAACTGGCTCAGATGTTCTCTTTATTCCTACTTTAATGCAATTGTTATGAGATCACAACAGATAGCGGTGTTGTCCATGCAGGCATCAAGACCAGAATCCTCCTTCAGCCTCCTATTGCCAGGATTACATGTGTTTGCCATTATATCTGACATTTAAATGTATTTCTTATAAAATGCCAAGTCCTTTTTTGAAGGGATATCTAGAAGTTGTATGTACATGATTGCTACATCCTGAGTTATAATTTATAAATAAGAGACACAAAATAATCTTCATTCTTTTATTCCTTTTGATAATGTGTTTTAGCTACTTCTAATGGTAATGATTAATTTTAGAATTAGTAAGAACCCATGGGTTTGGTTTTTTTTTTTTAAAGATAGAGTTTTACTGTATAGACTTTGCTGTTCTATAACTGGCTATTAGAACACTCACATTCATAAACATCTGTGTGCCGCTGCCTCCCCAGTCCTGTGATTAAAAGTGTAACCAATATGCCTGACTGAATTTTGAAAATTTTAATGGACTTCAGTTAACTGTAGTCATTATTCTTTTTAATGTATAAATTGTTTATTCTTGAAGAGCAGCGTTAAGGCTCAGCCCACGTGGACGGTGGTGTCGGAGGGAAAAGAGTTAAAGACTAGTCTGAGCTACATAGCTAGTTCAGGGCCGGCCCAGAAGACATGAGACCATGCCTTAAAATAATTAAAAGAAAGGGGGGGAAGATCCCTTGAAAAAACACTCCTGTTTTTCTGTGTATTATGGAACATGTCAGTCACATTAAAAAGCACAGAGCAGCACTTAACGAGCCACATGTGCCACCCGTCTTTGACAATTATCAGCTGGACCAATTTTATCTTCCCCACTCTCATAGATTGTTTAAAAATAGATACCAGATGTCGGGTAATTCCGAGGAATATTGTTCCTGACTCACTATTTATGAAAGTGCCTTCTATCTGGCATGGCAGCAACCTCTCTACCTTCCCACAGCCCCTGCGCTGGAGTCACACCTCAGTCCCAGAATCTATCTCATTTATTTAGCACAAGTTTTCCAGCTTCAAGGTCCTACTATCAGCGCTTTATTATTCATTTATTTATTTTTGCCATCTCATGAAATCTCCTTGGAAACTGTCTTATCATCAAAAATTAAATTTTTTCATAAGTATTTTCCTTTAAGCTAAGTTCATTGCAAATTTACCTTACCATGTTGCAAAGTAAGTGATGTTAGATAGGATATTTTCTCCTGCCAAAAACGAAGCCCAAATCAAATTTAGCTTAAATACTGAAGGGCTCACAAAACTGGACTGACGGAGGGAGGGCAGACGCAACACTGTCTGAACAGCTTAACTTAGTCATCAGGAACCCACTTTTCCAGTTGGAGACCATGTCCAACCAACACATATTTTCTTCTTAAAATCAAGGCCTATACACTGGGATTTGTCTCTACTGCATGTACTGGCTTTTTGGGATCCCAGTCTATTTGGATGCTCACCTTCCTAAGCCTGGATGGAGGGGGGAGGGCCTTGGACTTCCCACAGGGTAGGGTGCCTTGCCCTCTCTTAGGACTGGAGGGGGAGGGTGAGTAGGGGAGGGGAAGGGTGAGTAGGGGAGTGGGAGGGAAGTGGGAGGAGGGGAGGAAGTGGAGATTTTGATTGGTATTATCTATAAAGTAATAAGTTAAAAAAAAGAAGGCCTATATTGTCGGAGGAGAAGATGTATTTAAACTGCTAGACCTGTACCTCTTAGGCTCTGCTGCTAATATATATATATATATATATATATACATGATGAATGTGTAGAACTTTTGCTAGAACTTAAGGAGAGACATGTTGAAAACTGCAACTCCTGTTCTTTCAGGTACCTGGGAAAGGAACAGTAATGATGGGAAAGCTGTGGGCCTCTGGGATGAGAGCTTTGAGAACGGATAGATAGAAGGGTAGCAGAAGCTGGATTGTTGATGGGTCAGTGGTGTTATAAGCTCTGGAGCTCTTAGTGCATTTCACTGGCTCTTAAAATGGACTGTTTGCCTATGTATTAAGGAAAGAGGCTTAGAATGGAGGCCTGTGATTCCAGCTACTCCGGGAGGCTGAGGCAGGAGAATGACAAGTTCACTGCCTGGGTGACACAGTGAGTTCAAGGCCATCCTGGGAAACTTAGAACGCATCTCAAAGAAAATACAATAAAACAACAAAATGTAAAGAAAAGAGGGTGAGAAGGAGGTCAAGTAGTATATTTACCTAGCATGCATGTTTGAGGTTTAATCCATAGCACTGCTATTCCACACCCCACCCCTCCCAACCCAGGGAAACCATTGCTTTTGATTCTAAGGACTTAATACAGGGCTGGCACATGCTAGGCATGTAATCCACCACTTAGCTGGACCCACTATCTTGGGCTTTCTGATGTTCACAACCTCTATTTTCCTAATACAGAGTAGCTTTCAACTTATGGACTAGAGATGCCTTGAGGTTTGTGTCCACTTTCATCAAGGAGAATTTAGTGAAATATAATCTATGTGTATTGCTATATTTAAATGCTTTGATGAACTTTGCACTAATTCTACCAGGATCAAGACACAGCATGTTTTCCACACCCCTCTTGCCGACCCAGTCAGGTCTCCTCAGCTCGGCAACGGTCGGTCTGCTTTCTGTCATTCCGGTCACTTTCTTCCCAGAGCCTGACATAAGCGGGATTGTGCAATCTGGTTTCTTTCATTCAGCATTCTGTTTAGGATGCAGCCATGAATGCAAATGTCATAATGGAACCCATTATTTTGTATGCTCACTTAAAAAAAAAACTCAGGATCTAGGAGGAGTTGAGAGAATATGATAAAATATATTGTATGAAAAACTTTAAAAAGCACTTCACAGTGGCATTCTATAATAGACTAGATAGACACCCCACACTTTGCTTATTCTTTTACAGATGGTATATTTTAGGGTTGCTTCCAATTTAGTCTACTGTAGATAAAAGTAATATAGGGATTCACAAGCAAAGGAAATTATTTTTTATTCTCCTGCCTCTGTGGCCAGTATTGTCTTTTCTCGTATCCAGTCCTCGTTCTAATAGTTCTGTTGCATACCTCTTCCTTTTCAGCTCTAAGTACTGGTTAGTTCAAACTTAATCTGACGTGAGGAGCACTTGCTACTACTACTGCCTCACATCAGACGCCTGAGTTTTATCATAAATATGTGGATGTATATATGACAATGGAAGACAGTTGTTTTTTGGCACAGAAACATAAAGAACAGTAACAAACTCCCCTATGTGCCCTATTCTATGACAGGTGAGCAAGAAGGCTAGCTTTGGATCCGGTCAAGACTGCTAAAATCCAAGACTGGCCACTTATTACTGTTAGTATCTTGATACTTGGAGTCACTGAGTTTAATTTTTTTTTTTTAACCCAGGAAATTAGCAGAGAACTACAGAATGTAAGAACTAAATTTTCTTCCATTCACCATGTGTTGAGAACCGGCTTAAGCTCTAGGGATTCAGCACTGAGTAAAATGGCCCGAGCTCATGGAGCTTATTTATATTCTAGACCAGGGAGGGAAAAATGAAGATCTGTGTTCTGTTGGATAGTGAAGTGCTATAAAGAAACACAGAGCAGAGACGGGAGACACAAAAGGCTGTGTTTGTAATCCATTCTTGGCTGAGTTGCTTGAAGCCAGGCGTGGATCTCTATCTCTGGTATTTATCACAGTGTCAGCTGGCCCCTAAGTGCTGCCTGGGGCTTCCTGAATGGAAGGAGTGACTGAGCGAATGCTGGCATTGGAGACGGTCTCAGGAAATCACCGGCAATATCGCTTACCTGAGTGTTTTTACAGATTCCAGTCAGGTCGTAATTATGTCAGCAAGAACTGTGCCCTTCTCTTCTCCTTGCTCTTGCTGGGTCTTTAGCTTTACCGCTCTCTCCTCATAATATAATTTTCTTGGGACCCTGAATTCTTTTAATGTATCTTTAAAATAATAGATCCTTGATTTTTAAGAGTACATGAATTCTTTCAGAATTTTATTAAATAAGTAAAATAGAAAACCATTTTACAAATGACTTAGCATATCAACTTTTAGAACTTTATGGTTTCTGGAAAGCTGAAGTGCTTATACTACTTATAACAGAAACATGTTTTAGGATAGTATTTACTGTCGAGAACAATGTGCTTAATATGTAGTTAAGTGAGGGTTATCATTTTGTAAACTACAGCAACTAGTTTATGAAAATAGTTACAAAACAGGCTACACAAATTACTGTTTTCTTCCGTGTTTTTTTTAAAAGTATATTTCAAACCCATGCCATTAAACAGCCTCTCATTCTTACTACTTTTGGAGTACCATAAAATTGAATATAAAGGGAGGAGGAACGTGTTACTGTAGTGTGATGTTTTACTCTTTTGGCTTTTTGAGGGACCCACCACCCAACTCCCAAATAAATCCCATATGGAGGCTTATTAGTTATGAATGCACGCCTTAGCTTGGCTCGTTTCTTACCAGCTTTTCTTAACCTAAATTAACCTGATGACCTTTTGCCTCTGGGCTTTTTATCTTTTTGTTACTTTTTTTTTTTTGTCTCCTTCTCCATGACCGGCTGGGTGGCTGCCCCGATCTCCTCGACTCCTTGTTCTCTTTGCTCCTCTCTCCTCCTAGTTTTCTCCTTCTCTTTATAATCTTGCCTACCAGCCCCGCCTATTCTTGTTCCTGCCTTGCTACTGGCCGTTCATATCTTTATTAGGACTTTCAGGTGTTTTAGACAGGCACAGTGATACAGCTTCACAGAGTTAAACAAATGCAGCATAAACAAAAGTCACTCACCTGAAAATAATATTCTCCAATATGTTACATACATGATGGCTTCACAAACTGGAATATTTATGTAAGGTCTACAAAAATCTGGCAGACTGAGGCTGGTTTTAAAAAAGAAGAAGAAAGAAAGAAAAAAAGAAAGAAAGAAAGGAAGAAAGAAAGAAAGAAAAAAGAAATTAACCTTGAATGTTAGAAACCAACCTAATTATTACCATGTTTGATGACTGAGTTAGGAAATATATTTAAAGCCTTGTTATGGTTTTATCTATATTTTGCAAAGCTAACTACTGCTGTATCTCCTTTATAACCACCACAAAATATGTTTTCAACACACATTTCATTAACTTACATTGGTATTGGTAATAAACGATTGCCCCACAGGAGACAACTGGGCCTCAAGTCATTTTACAGCTCTACGATTACTTCTATTTTAAATTTGTTCCTTGTCATTCATTAGGATGTTAGAAACTGAACCCAGGGCCCCTCACTAATGCTGGGCAAGTGTTCTCTTGCCATGGCACACCCACAGACCTTGCCACTTATGATTTAACAGTGTCGTTAGCAATATTGTTTTCTATTCTAATAGTATGATACAAATTACTGCCCCCTTAAGGATATTATTTCCTGAGTTATCATGGATGCCTCCCTCTTTTTTTTGAAGCATCTAAAATGAATTTTGAGTTTTGAATTCAAAATCTTAGAACTGCTCTAACATCGCTGACTTCTCAAATTGCTACTATCTCCACCATGCAACTTTGTTTTTAACACAGGGTCTAGGTCTTAAAAAAAAAAAAACAGTTATGGCTGTCCTGGAATTCATGATGTAGACCAGGCTGGCCACCTCTGGGATATGATGCACCAATCCAGGTCCCACCATATGTTTTATTTAAACGCTTTACTTATTTTCTGTTTCCATACTTAGAGACTGTGACAGCCCTTTAAAGGTGACAAATAGCCAGTAGGTGTTTAATTTTTCCTCCAACACACCATTAGATCATGACTTTTAATCCATTTTAATATTTTCTGAAATTTCTCCCTTGACCCATGTTGAGCAATTACTGTTTTTAATAATTTTTATAACTATTCCCCACTGAAGACAGTTTATCCTTAACGTTATATCAGCTATGTGATGTACTAGAAAGAGTAGTGGCAAATCTTCCAATTCTGGTAATGTCTAAGTATTACTTTCTGATGACTTCAATTCTTCACGCTTCTACCACGGTCCTGCCCTGTGATCCCTTCCAAATAAAAAGGTAGAAATAATGATTAAATCTGGATCTAAAATTCTAGTGCCTTCCACTCCCTAAAGCATTCCAGGGAAAATCTGCTTAGCAAAGCTTCTATTATCTAAGTAGCTATATTTAGGTTATCATTTTTTTTTCTTAAGCATCAAGTTCAAGCCTGGGGAAATGCCTGGGTGCGACCAACGGTGAAGCTGCAAGCTGGACCAGGTGCAAGACTCAAGAGATGTTTTTGTGCCTCTCTAGTCAACAGTTTCCAGCTAATATCCCGCTTTTCTGCGCTATCGCTCTAACTGCAGCGCTTCTCAATCATAAACTATCTCAAATGTATCCACGGCAGATTTGTCACCTAGTTGATTCTTGGAGGTCCGACAGAGGATGACTTGGGATCTAAGTCTCTGAGCCCAAAAGACAAGCAAAGGCACGGAGGTAGTGGGCCTCGGCAGCGGAGGAAGGTAGCTAACCCTCGGCCAGGCCAAGCCTCGCGGCCGGGACGCCCAGGCTCGAAGAGCAGCAGAGAGGGACGCTCAGTCCCGCGTTTTTCCCCCCGCCTCTCATTTTCGTGTCACAGACCTAGAGAAACCGCAGCGGGAAGTGGCTCGGCAGTCCGACTGGCGGTGTTAGCTCTCCCGAGGGTGGAGAGAGCGCGGAGCTGCAGCCGAGCGGAACACCCTGCCAGAGTTCGGCCACCGCGCTCAGGCCGCTTTCCGAACGCTCCCAGCCGCTTCCGCAGGCCCCGCCCCCGCCGGGGTTTCCCCGCCGCCCGTCTCATTTGCATGGCGCGCCCCTCCCCCATTGCCATTGGCCGGAGCCGGGCCCCGCCCTCCCC